CTGGTTCTGATCCTAACAGGTCATCAGACTGAGACCTGGTCCTGATCCTAACAGGTCATCAGACTGAGACCTGGTCCTGATCCTAACAGGTCATCAGACTGAGACCTGGTCCTGATCCTAACAGGTCATCAGACTGAGACCTGGTCCTGATCCTAACAGGTCATCAGACTGAGACCTGGTTCTAATCCTGACAGGTCATCAGACTGAGACCTGGTACTGATCCTAACAGGTCTTCAGACTGAGACCTGGTCCTGATCCTAACAGGTCATCAGACTGAGACCTGGTCCTGATCCTAGCTAACAGGTCATCAGACTGAGACCTGGTTCTGATCCTAACAGGTCATCAGACTGAGACCTGGTCCTGATCCTAACAGGTCATCAGACTGAGACCTGGTTCTGATCCTAGCTAACAGGTCATCAGACTGAGACCTGGTCCTGATCCTAGCTAACAGGTCATCAGACTGAGACCTGGTACTGATCCTAACTAACAGGTCATCAGACTGAGACCTGGTCCTGATCCTAACAGGTCATCAGACTGAGACCTGGTTCTGATCCTAGCTAACAGGTCATCAGACTGAGACCTGGTCCTGATCCTAGCTAACAGGTCATCAGACTGAGACCTGGTTCTGATCCTAACTAACAGGTCATCAGACTGAGACCTGGTTCTGATCCTAACTAACAGGTCATCAGACTGAGACCTGGTTCTGATCCTAACAGGTCATCAGACTGAGACCTGGTCCTGATCCTAGCTAACAGGTCTTCAGACTGGGACCTGGTCCTGATCCTAACAGGTCTTCAGACTGAGACCTGGTCCTGATCCTAACAGGTCTTCAGACTGGGACCTGGTCCTGATCCTAACAGGTCTTCAGACTGAGACCTGGTCCTGATCCTAACAGGTCTTCAGACTGAGACCTGGTCCTGATCCTAACAGGTCTTCAGACTGGGACCTGGTCCTGATCCTAACAGGTCTTCAGACTGAGACCTGGTCCTGATCCTAACAGGTCTTCAGACTGGGACCTGGTCCTGATCCTAACAGGTCTTCAGACTGGGACCTGGTCCTGATCCTAACAGGTCATCAGACTGAGACCTGGTCCTGATCCTAACAGGTCTTCAGACTGGGACCTGGTCCTGATCCTAACAGGTCTTCAGACTGGGACCTGGTCCTGATCTAACTGGGATCTCTTAATGTGTTCAGGAAGAAGACGTCGACGTGGTGGAGCACGGTCGCTGGCTGTCTCTCCGTCGGTAGTCCCACCTTCTTCCGCTCCGGCGCTCAGGAGTTCGGGGAGCCCGGCTGGTGGAAGCTGGTCCAGAACAGACCGCCAACCCTGAGACCCGATGTGGACAAATCCACCGCCAAGGCTAAAGGTGTGAACACCCCCTGCATCCATCAGGTGTTCTCCTACAGGTAACAGCGAGCTGACGTTTTCTTCTTCTTCTCCTGCAGTGACCAAACCGTCCGTGGACCCGATCATCACCGTGGAGGGTCTGAGGAAACGCGGCGCGAGGAACCCGGTGGAGAGCGCCATACAGCTGAAGGAGAAACGCTCTCGCACGCAGGAGGCCAAAGACATCCGTCGGGCTCAGAAGGAGGCGATCGGAGGATACACCGACCGCAGCGCCTCCTCCACGCCCGTCAAACTGGGCGGCGCTCGCGGCGGGGGTGCTGGACGGCGTCCAGACCTGGTCCTGGAGAAAGGGGAAGTCATAGATTTCTCCTCGCTGAGCTCGTCAGACCGCACGCCGCTCACCAGCCCGTCTCCGTCGCCTTCACCTGACTTCTCCGCCCCCGGGACGCCAGCCTCTCACTCGGCCACGCCCAGCCTTTTGTCAGAGGCCGACCTCATCCCAGACGCCATGCCGCCGCAGGCCCTGTTCCACGGTGAGAAACGCCCACATGTTTTTTTTAAAGAATTAAAATATTAACGGTCAGAAGAAGGTTTTTAAAAAATGTCTTCTTCGACCTCCAGATGACGAGGAGATGGAGGCGGACGGAATGATTGACCCAGGGATGGAGTACCTTCCACCTCCCTCCGCCCACCTCGCCGCGCGCAAGAAGCTCCGCCCAGCGCCGCCTCACATTAAACGTGAAGCGGACAGCGAGGACGATGAACGGCGTGGACGTGAGGACGACTTCGAGGAGCCGGTGGGGCGTGGCGAGGGTCCGTCTCTCTCTGCGGTGGGTGTCGGCGCCGGGGGGGCGGAGAGAAGGAGAATAACTCACAATGAGAAATCGGACGTAGTGGGCGGAGTCTCACAGACGCCTCGCTTCACCTCGCTCAGTCTGTACGAGGAGAGGATGCTGCTGCGGCGGCTGGACGCCTGCCCGCTTGCCCTCGCCGTCACCCGCAGGCCAAACGCCTCCACAGGAAGCTGCTGGTCCGCCAGGCCAAGAGGCAGAGAGGGCTCCCCCTGCTGGACGTCGACCGAGCTGTCAGCGCCACCCTCAGCCTGGTGGGCGGGATCTACGGCGCTCAGGAGGCGGGGCTTCTTACGAGGGGGGGAATCATGGGAAAGTACTGCACCAACAGTCAGGAGCTGCGGATTCTCGACCGCTTCCAGGTAAGTTTGTATAAACATCAGACCGTCTTTTGTAAGTCGTGGACACGGCGAGAGAGTGAGTCGTGGTCATGTTTGTGTGCAGACCAAGTTGGCGAGCAGACGTGGCGTGCAGCAGAACTCGCTGACCTTCTGGAATCGTCTGATGGGCGCTGAAGGAAGTTTGGACCAGAGCATCAAGAGTCCGTACACCTCGCGCATCCTCAAACCCTTCATCAGGTAACGAGTTCCACCGGGTACAGAACGGGGAACAGGGGCGGATCATAAGGGGGGGTCTGGGGGGGTCTGGGGAGTCTGGGGGGTCTGGGGGGGTCTGGTCTGCAGAGAGACCGCAGTGAGTCTGATCGTGTCCTGTCGTGTGTGTGTGCGCTCCTCAGGAGGGATTATGAGAGTCGTCCGCCCAAGATGAGGTTGCTGTCAGAGATCAGAGCTCGCCCTCACAGGAACGACCCTGATTGGCTCCCTGAAGCCAACGCCCCCATCGACTACTGCTACGTGCGGCCCAACCACATCCCCTCCGTCAACGCCATGTGTCATGACGGCTTCTGGCCAGGTACGTCAACGTCTCCTACTCACCATCACTGTGAGTCTCTATAAACCTGACAGTAACTTAACTCCTCCCCCTGACCCCCCCCCCCCCACAGGTGTGGACCTGTCAGAGTGCCTGCAGTACCCGGACTTCAGCGTGGTGGCGCTCTATAAGAAAGTGGTGATTGGTTTTGGTTTCATGGTGCCCGACGTGAAGTACAACGAGGCGTACATCTCCTTCCTGCTGGTCCACCCCGAGTGGAGGAGGGCCGGCGTCGGGACCTTCATGATCTACCATCTGATCCAGGTGAGGGGGTCAGAGGTCAAACACCGTTGATACCTTTAGGGGCACGGTAGGGATTGCGTCCTAACTTTCCTCTCCTGCTGTGTTTTCAGACGTGTATGGGAAAAGACGTGACCCTGCACGTGTCGGCCAGTAACCCCGCCATGCTGCTCTACCAGAAGTTTGGCTTCAAGGCGGAGGAGTACATCCTGGACTTTTACGATAAATATTACCCTGTGGACAGCGCCGAGTGCAGACACGCCTTCTTCCTCCGACTCAGACGATGAGTCCAACAGGTTAGGACCCTCGGGACCAGCTGGAGGTCGCCCCAAACCCCCCCCACCCCCCACTGAAGCCTGATCAGTCCAGATACTGAACCAGCAGTCTCAGCTGTGTGATGTCATCGTGATTATTTACCTGCTCCTCGATCTGGCATCTTCTTATTGGATGACCTGAAGCAGCCAATGAGAGCGAGCAGACCGGATGCTGCGTCACAGCTCACAAACATGACAGTGAACATAAACACAACCGAGCCCCGATCCGAGGGGGAAATACTGAAGAAGAGCAGCTTGTGTTACTATGGCAACAACACAAGAGTCTTTATAATGTCTCACCTCGTCCATCGTCCTCCATGTTTGTTTCTCTCCTGAAGTCGTGTTTGATCTCGTTTCTAGTGTGCGTTCAGAGGATTATAAAGTTTGTTGAATCTGTACTTTTGTTCAGTTTAACAGTAAATCTGTTTTTCTTTCACCTTTATTTGGTTTTGGACGTTTTCATTGTAAACACCGAGTCTTTACTTCCTGCTGAGGCCGAGTTATGGTCATCAAATCACAACGCGCCAAACTCACGGGGGATGATAGATATACCTGCGAGGAACCTACAGTAAGAAGGTCATAACTGCGCACGCTTCCTGGGCCGAGAGTTTTGCTAAGAAACACATCCGACCGTATTTAATGTGCAGTACATTTTCTGGGGCGGGGCTTAGCAAAACTCGCAGCGAGTGTTCGTGTGGTAGAGACGAGTCCCCCGCTTGACCTGCGAGTGTTTATGAAAATGTACCTGCTTCTCTTCATGTTGTGATTGGGCCCCCCTTAAACCCTAAGAGCCCCCCCTGTGTCCAACAGGAGCCCCCCCTAAGAGCCCCCCCTGTGTCCAACAGGAGCCCCCCCTAAGAGCCCCCCCTGTGTCCAACAGGGGGGGCTCTTAGGGTTTAAGGGGGGCCCAATCCCAGACGCGCCCCCCTAGGTGCGGGCCTTCCAAATCCAGGTGGAAACACAGCTGAGACCGTCTGTGGTGGGAAAAAAAGCATTCGGTCAAACGTAGAGCGCTCGATGTTGCTTTGCTCCTCGACGAGGACGGAGAATGTTTTAAAAAGAGGAGGTTAAAGAATCCGACTTGATCTGATTGGCTGCTTCAGCCAGAAGCGACTTTGACCAGCGCTGTGACGCCGCGTCTTGTGCTGAAAAGTTAAAATGTTTGAACTTGTTTCATGTGCAGCCAAATCAGAATTCATTAGTTTGATAAACATGAAGATGAGGACGAGGTCTGGAGATAAAACAGCCGGTTTATAGTTGCTGCATTTATCCACCACAGAAGAAGAGAAATGAAACTAAAAAACTCTGGAGACGACGTTCAGCGAGTTACAGATTTTATTGACATGTAATCGTTTGTTTTCAGATCCTCGTGTTGAGAGAAGATCTGTGTTCAGAACACGTCCAGGTTCAGTTTAGGTTTTCCCAGTTTGCCCAGCAGGTCCAGTCCGGTCTGAGCGGCCAGCAGAGACACCATGTGGTTACAGCCGGAGCTCACCGCCACGTCGTACGCCGTCTGACCGCCGGCGTTTCTCCTCCTCATGCTCGCCTTACAGCTGAAAAAGAGCGTGGCGAGGATGATGATGATGTCAGAAAGGCGGGAGGAGCAACTGCTGTTCGACTGTAAGATATTTGGACGTCACTCATTGCTTTGTAAGCTTCTTTTTTTAGATGGAGGCGTCCATTTTTAAACGGCCATAAGTGACCATATTAGGACAGGAGAGGGTCTCGTCCATATATGGTCACTTCCTTGCATTAAACGTTCTTACTGAAAGCATAAACAGCCATCTCTTCCTGTAGTCCAACCAAACGCTTTCATGTTGCCATGGTATTGACTGATCATCCCAGGTAGCCCCGCCTTAAACCCCGCCCCTCTTTCTAGTCTCTCTAAATGGGACCATAATTTACTAAATGAACATCATGTTGTGTTAAAGAAGACTTGAAACTACAGATTGAGAAACTCATCAGGGGAAAGTTCACTGACGGTATAAATAAACTGACAAGTAGGAACATTTTATCATAGACTTCTATGGCACTTTGAAAATGCAGTTTTAAGACACTTCCGTTTTGGCCTCACTTTCAAACAAAAGGCTGAATCCACTTCCTGCTGCCGGAGAATTATTCTGAAACATGTCAACCATACAGAAGATACTCAGGTGAGTCGTACCTGAGCAGGACTTTAGCACACGGCAGACCATCAGAGCCCCGACCTGCAGCTTCATGCAGAGCTGTGTTCTTCATCCTGAGGAGGGGGAGGAGTCAGCACACCTTTACCTTCAATGTGTTTTAAATGGGTATAAATGTTTATATTTGTTTGAAGTTGTTTTTCCTCTTACCGTCCCGACTGCTGGTCCACGTCCGCTCCTCTCTGCACTAAAACAGGAAGTGCATCGTGGTGACCGTTCACCACGGCAACTGCCAGGGCGTGTCGGCCGTCGCTGTCGCAGCAGGAGGGGTCCGCCCCCTGGTGGTGAACGAGGAAACAAACAGACAGAAGTCAAGGAGAAGATAAAATGGATGAAATAGCCGTTCTGGTATCAAACAGGTGTCTTAGAGTCACGTCAGCCCGCTCCTAAGGAGGCTACTGATTGGCTGCAGAGGGTCGTACCTGATCCAGGAGCTGCTGGATTACGCTGATCTGACCTCGACCTGGACCCAACTCCTTCAACAGCTGCACGTCATTCATCTGGAACCAGGAGAGCCAATCAGAGACGAGCTTTCATACGGCAGCAGAGGATGTTTTCACACAGGTGAGTTTAAATCAAAGGCAGTGACGGCACTTACTGGAGGTTTGGGTGTCAGGTTCTGTTTGGACGGTTTCGTCTCACCTGTGGGAGGATCACTTCCTGTCAGACACACTTGTTGTGAACAGCAGTCTTATTGGATAGAAGTCTATGATGAAAAGGTGCTACGTGTCTACCTGTCAGGTGATCATTGTTTTGTGTTTCTTACTGAGAGTGCTGCTGTCAGCTGATCGCTCTGTGACGCTGCTCAGAGTCTCAGTCCGACCCGCAGGTATGACACCGTCCCCTGCTGCATCCACCTGAGTACCAACACACAGTCAGTCTCCACCTTTCTCTAAAAAACACACCACAGGTTCACCACCTGAGAGCTCAGGTGGCATGTTTCTGTACACACCTGTTTGTCTGTTTCCCGTCCTGCTGACACAAAGCTGACGGTCAGACCGACGTCATATCGATCCTCCTGAATCACAGCCGAGACCACCTGAAGGGCAACAAACAGGTCACCTGACAAACAGGAAGTGAACCCAGCAAGACCTGCACCTGCTCAGGTGAGTCTCAATTAAACATGAGTCTTTAGTAAAATCCTTTCATACAGTCACTCATTTGATTTATACTTTATAGTTCATTAACCAAAGTTACTGTCCTCATTTTACAGGTGAGACACAAATAATTAAAGGTGAGACAAATGATTACAGAGGAGGTACCAATGATTAAAAGTGAGGTACAAATGATTAAAGGTGAGGTACAAATGATTAAAGGTGAGGTACAAATGATTAAAGGGAGGTACAAATGATTAAAGGTGAGGTACAAATGATTAAAGGTGAGGTACAAATGATTAAAGGTGAGGTACAAATGATTAAAGGTGAGTACAAATGATTAAAGGGGAGGTACAAATGATTAAAGGGGAGGTACAAATGATTAAAGGTGAGGTACAAATGATTAAAGGGAGGTACAAATGATTAAAGGGGAAGTACAAATGATTAAAGGTGAGGTACAAATGTTTAAAGGGGAAGTACAAATGTTTAAAGGGGAGGCAGAAATGATTAAAGGTGAGGTACAAATGATTAAAGGTGAGGTACAAATGATTAAAGGGGAAGTACAAATGATTAAAGGTGAGGTACAGGTGAGCTTCAGGTGAGTTCTTGGTGAGTTGCAAGAAAGGAATTGGTGAGGTGAGGAACAGGTGAGTTACAGGGGAGGTACTAATTAAAAACAGGTGATGTTTAGGTGAGGTGCAGGTGAGTTGGGCATACCCGGCCCAGGCGTGGTTCTCCCAGCAGAGCCCTGAAGGGGGCGTTGTTCTGAGCATAACTTCTCAGGTGAGCACACACGTGATCCAGCTGTTTCCTCCAGAAACCTGCAACACAACGAGACAACATCAAGACGTGAAAGAACTGATCGTCCCGGGTCGATGGTGGTCAGCAGTATCACAAGTACAGGAAGTAGTATTAGTGGAATCAGTAGTATATTACCTCGTCCCGGGCTGATGGCGGTCAGCAGCGGTTGGCGATCTTTGGTGGCGTGCTGCATGCTGAGCTGAAGCGCCCTCTGTTGCTCCTTCCTCTGCAGCTCAGTGGCTGATGGGTAATAGAGTCCCACAGTCTGCGTGGACTGGTCTCTGCGGGGCGTGTCTAACTTCTTGGTGTTGGCGGGGTCAGACGAGGGCGTGGCCTGCCAGGTGACATCACGGGTAGTTGATGATGTAGCCTGCTGTGAACAGACAGAGAGTAGTGTGTGATTTTCTCTGTTATGATCTGTGCAAGCGTGATGATGGCGGTGCAGCGTACCTGTTTGGTGCCCGCGGCCCCTACCTGTCGTGTGATGTCACCACCGGATGTGGGCGGGGCTGGTGCTTCCAGGAAGACCCCACAGGCTGTGCAGTGGATAGCGTATGGATGTCCACTCGCTCCACATCGCCAACAGATCACACAGCTGACTGCATGACCCGGCTAAAAAAAACACACATCACACTACATTACCCACAAGCCTTCACTCTTCTCACTCCCAAAATCACAAACGAGAGGAACAGCGTCAGGTGTTTCTGTGTGTTCACCTTAGAGCCACACCAGTCACAGTATCTGGAGTCACTCCAGTTTAAACGTTTACATCTGGAGCACGACAACATCCTGCGGTCTGCGGGGTGGACAGAGGGGGCGCCGTTCCCCACACACACCGCCTGCAGGTTCACACACACACACAGATAAACAGTTACCTCTCTGCAGATTAATGTGAGTGTAAATGTAAGCGAGTGTGTGTTTGTGTGTTACCGTCTGCAGGCGGCTCTCGCAGGTCAAACAGCTGGAGATATGAGCGGGATTACCACTTCCACAGCAAACACACACAACATGATCCCACACACACACACACACACACACACACACACACACACACACACACACACACACACACAACACACATCAGAAATTTGTCACAGATGGACTGGGAAGTATATGTTAATATGTTAGCTTGATGCTAACACATACTGGAAAATGCCCTTTACTGGCTAACAGAATTAGCATCTCGATACATTTAACTTAATATTAAAATAACTGAATATTCTCAACTAACGCCACCACTTATGCACTCGTACTTACAAGCAGATGCTTCATAAACCCTGTGGAGACAAACTCAAAAAACTGCTGACTCATGCTAGTCTGGTCTGCTGCTCTGATCCAGTGACGCTGCATGACTCGCTCTTTATGTCTCAGTTCATGTCCCTCTGCTGCCTCCTTTTGGGTGGTGGTGTCTGATGCGCAACTTATAAAGAGTCAATAAAGGCCCAGGGTCTCTGGAGTCTATCGCCAAGCCCAGAAACACCAATCAGGAACTTCAAACACTTAGGATGTTTTAAATCTAAACCTTTTACTCAATCCCTACTGATTCAGTGGAGGTGTGTCATTCTCCTTGTGGGGAGTGGGTGCTACATGGGCATAGATTTCACCTGTGTGTGTGTGTGTGTGTGTGTGTGTGTGTGTGTGTACCTTTAGTGTGCGCCTGGACTGCGGTCGTAGTTGTTGATGGATGGAGTTCTCACAGATTAAACAGCTCTGAGTGTTCACAGGAACCAGAGTGTTACAGAACACACAGCACACCATCTGACAACAACACACACATAAACAAACACACATTAGCTCTGTACACACTGAGGGCCGGATTCTGTTCATCATGTTCCTCGTCTATCTGCTTAAAGGTCAAACTCACAAAGCGTATATATTTCTGATGATATTTTAAAAGTGTGAAGTTAGTGTCTGAATGTGGAGAGAAGCTATCATATCTCGGTAAGACGCCTTTTACTATTAGGCTGATTTGCACAAAAAGGGGATTGTTCCCCAAATAATGGATCATTTAAATAACATCAGCAGTGACGCACAGAGACGCAGTTTGCTCTGTGGCGCAGTTAGGGGAGCATTTAACCCTTTGTGTGATTTGTGAATTAGACAGGTTCTCTTTGACTCATTTGCCTGTTTAGAAGATGCAAGAGCTACACAATCCTTTCATGGATGAGACCCTGGATGTGTTGTGCTGTTGAATCATTACATTTGGGTGTGTGTGCAGTACCTGTCCTCCTTCAGTAGGGGGCAGTCTCTGCTCAGTTATCACAGACACCGGAGCTCCACAGTAAGAACAGAACCGAGCAAACGGATCTGAAGGACGGACGCTCAGACACCCAGCACACCTAGACACACAGACAGAGGAAGCAGAGTGATAGACAGAGATTTAAATCTTCTTCTATCTGTTAGCTGACAGGTTAGGGTCGCTGTCCGTACCGCAGGAAGTCCGTCTCTCTGCAGATTCTGGACGTCTCCGTGCTGCTCAGCTGCTTCAACACACCTGAATCCTGACAAGACAGGAAACACAACAAAATAAAAGTCAACACAGAAACAGTTTCAGGAACCACAGAAAGGTGTGGTTGGATAGTTTGGATGAGCTGGTGGTGTTAGGTCAGGTTACCGCTGACTGGGAGCGATGGGGGTCTCCAGTTTGGGCGGAGGTGCTGGGAGAGCCCAGCCGACTGTGCAGGAAACGAGGACCTGATTGAGGAGATCTATTACCCATCATCCTCAGCTCTGAAAACAAAACAACAGAGAAGATATTGCCAAGAGGAAGTAGATAGATGATGAACAAAAAGGGGCCTAGGACAGAACCCTGAGGAACACCGGTAGTGATTGGAAATATCTGAGATTTGAAGGTTTTGAGTTAACTACTCCCAATGGACCAGGGGATGGACTGCTGACTACCTTGTCAGCTAACAACATGTAGATCAGGAAAAACTTCCATGTGTTGTGAAGTGAGATGTGAGAGTTGGGTGTGTTTGAAAGACGGATCCAGAACTCACCTGGAGGCTTCAGTGAAGAACCAGAAGAGTTCTCTACAGACCACGACGTTCGGTCAGACGGACGCTGAAATGAAAAGTACTGACTGATGACTGCGGAAGAACTGATGGACATTAAGACTCCCTGAACCCTTTAACAGATAAATAATTTGAACACTGACTCAGACACCAGGGGCATGATGGGAAATGTAGTCTAGAGACAGTCTGTGGGGGTTTGTTTACCAGCTGGTCGCTCCGCAGGAAGTCCTCCTCATTCTCTTTCCCGTTCTTTGAGTCCACAGGTTCAACCGAGAAAACCTTGGTCACGACAGCGCTCTCTCTGCCGTCACTACACACACATGGGTGTTTTCATAGCGCTTGTGAGTAGAATTTGCTAAACGACAGGTTGTGTCGAGTTACAGGTGGAACAGGGAACTCACCTGGTCACAGCTACAGCTCTGACAGACACTCGACCAGCAGGCAGCAAGATGGGCTCATTGTACTTCCTGCTGTTGCCTGCTGACCCGCGCTGCACCGCCACGGGCCTCGACCCATCCAGAGTGAAGAAGATCTGCACACCTGGAGAGTCTGTGGGGACACCAACACCTGTCAGATACACTGGATGGAGACAGGTGTGTTGTACCTGACTGGAGGGAGACAGGTGTGTTGTACCTGACTGGTGGAGACAGGTGTGTTGTACCTGACTGGAGGAGACAGGTGTGATGTACCTGACTGGAGGGAGACAGGTGTGTTGTACCTGACTGGAGGGAGACAGGTGTGTTGTACCTGACTGGATGGAGACAGGTGTGTGTACCTGACTGGAGGGAGACAGGTGTGTTGTACCTGACTGGAGGGAGACAGGTGTGATGTACCTGACTGGAGGGAGACAGGTGTTGTACCTGACTGGAGGGAGACAGGTGTGTACCTGACTGGAGGGAGACAGGTGTGTGTACCTGACTGGAGGGAGACAGGTGTGTTGTACCTGACTGGAGGGAGACAGGTGTGATGTACCTGACTGGATGGAGACAGGTGTGTGTACCTGACTGGAGGGAGACAGGTGTGATGTACCTGACTGGAGGGAGACAGGTTGTTTGTACCTGACTGGAGGGAGACAGGTGTTGATGTACCTGACTGGAGGGAACAGGTGTATGTACCTGACTGGAGGGAGACAGGTGTGATGTACCTGACTGGAGGGAGACAGGTGTGATGTACCTGACTGGAGGGAGACAGGTGTGTTGTACCTGACTGGAGGGAGACAGGTGTGTTGTACCTGACTGGAGGGAGACAGGTGTGTTGTACCTGACTGGAGGAGACAGGTGTGTTGTACCTGACTGGAGGGAGACAGGTGTGTTGTACCTGACTGGATGGAGACAGGTGTGTTG